TTTTAGTTTTGATATGGTCCGAGATCGGTGGCTCCGGTCTAACGGAAGGTTCTTCCCGGTTATGGCGTGGTTTGCTTGATTCAATCCGGTCCAAGCTTGCGTGTTCTCCGGTACTTGAAAGCGCGCCGGAATTTCTCCGGCGCAAGCCCTCCGACGCCCAAGTTAGGATCTCGGATTTAGAGAGAGAATTGTGTCTAATAAATGTTGTAGTAATGATATTAATGGAGTCTTACCTTCTACTCTAGCATTTACCGTATATATAGTGCTTAATTGTACGGACTGTGTGGTAGTTGGCGTTGCTAAGGGTCAAATACGAGTTGGCGTTCGACCCTCTTTTACGGGTCGACCTCCAGTGGGTCGACGCTTTGTTGGTCAACTTTCTACAGGTCGATCATATAACTCTCCGCGTGGCCCGAACTTATAGCCGGTCGATCACGTAGCCTTCATGCGGCTCGACCATGCAATTGGTCGAGCATGTAGCCGGTCGATCCTTCGGCTTACTCCGTGGGCCAGTGGGTCGAGCCCTCCCCCCCCTCACATGGGTCGAGGGGTCGAGCCCCTATGCGGGTTGGTGGGTCGAGCCCTACACGGGTCGAGTCTCCACGCTCATCGACCCTATTTCCCACGCTCATCGACCCTATTTCCCCCGCCCCTATGCGGGTTTGCTTAACTCGGGTCGAGCCCTACATGGGTCGAGCCCTACATGGGTCTTTGCCCGACCGAACCGGGTCGATACTATAATCCCTATCAAGTTTCTTGGTACTTAGTCCAATTCAAGTCTTCAATGACTTCTTTCTTTTTCATCTTTTGTTAAGTGGAGGCACATATTTTCAGAAAGAAAAAAAAAAGCAGGATACAAGTTTTAAAATTGATGCTTTTTAGGTTATGGCTTGTGAAGTTCATCAACTACTAGCTACTTTTTAATTGAGTCAAAACATCCCTTTTGTCGGCCTTTCCCTTGAGCTTTATCTGAGAACTCAAGTTTTATTTTTCAACTATTATCGTAGCCCGTGCAAATGCACGAAACTATTAGAAATAATAAAATAAGGAAACATAAATAGAATAAATAATTTTTATATGCAATTAAAATAGACTACTATATACAATGTTTATATGTCGTCGGTGTTTGTAACCGTTAGATCAACATATAACGGTCAGAGATAGTTGATTTGACGGTTACAAATCCCGACAGATTGGTTCTATAACAGGACCGTAGCATCTTCCTCAATATATATCAGTATCTTGTGTCTTTTTATTTGTAACTCGAGAAACAACAATGTAAAGTTCAGAATTAAAAGCCTAAAAGTAGATTCCTATATGTATATATTCTTTAGTTTTTTATTAATAGAACAAATTGACATAGTATTAATGAATTTTTTTATATAGTTTTTTTTATATAATTTTCCATGAATTTAACGAATTTCTTTCTAAAATCGTTATTTTTTTTGTTTGAAATCTAATGATGTGGACCAAAATTTATTGATAAACGAAAAGTTGAGTAACTAAATTGATTTAATTGGAATATCATGTACTAAATGTGCAAATATATATAGTTGGGGTATAAAAAAATTCTCAAATTATTTTATTATCTTATCACATTTTATTACAGTTTGTTTTAATTTATCATGTAATTTAAATCGTATTTTGACACTTGAATATATTATTTCTTAATTGTCCGGTTTTATAATTTATAATGTTATCTTATTTATTAACTATAATTTTCTATACATATACTTACAATTTCTTTATTTGTGAACCATTCTTTTATTTAAATAAGTACCATATTGTTATCTAGTATCTTCATATTTTTAGGAAGATTTTAAATATAAATTATTATTTAACATACATCATAAATAATTCACCGTGATTCAACATATCATGTACATGTAAAAAGAAATTTACTTTTATATTAATGAGAAATCAAAACAAACAAAACATTTTAAAATGCTTATCTATAAATGGTAATAACAAATTTAGGTCCACTTTTACTATTAACCTATTATTAAAAATGAAAAAAAAATAATTAACGGAGGTTGAAGCATGTTTAATAAAATAATAAAAAATTGTAACTAACTTTCTATAAATAGTAATATAATGAGGGACCCACTAAAACACTTAGAGGATGATTGGATATAAAAAATTTTGGTTTTGTTTGGATTTTTTTGTTTGGTTTGGTTAGTTTTGAAAAAGTTGGTATGATTAATAGTTAGTAGATATATTAAAATAATATTTAAAATAAAATAATTAAAGTTGATTTGATGTAAAGTAGGAGAGAGAAAATTTGAAGTGATGGTTAGTTAAAATTATGTGAGTTGATGAATAGTGAATTAAAGTGATGTGGTGTGTAAGAATGATTGATTGATATTATTTAATTATATTGAGAATATTGATGATAGTGGGGTTGAGTTAAAGTTGAGTTAAAAAAATGGTTTAGTTAAAAATGTTTGGATTTTTTTTGAGAAATTTTTGTATCCAATCATGCTCTTACTATTTTTAGTAAGTGAGTTGCCTAATTATATAGTAATAGATTTATAATTACACTTGGTCAAATGAAATAAGTTGTTCGTAGACTTGATTTGGTTCGGTTGGCTGAGAGTTGAGTTTGACTCGAGCTCATTTAATTGATAAACAAAGCTAACTAAGCTCGCTAAGACTCGAATACTACTGAAATTTTCAATATTTTCTAAAATAAATCATCATCGATTGTTTAGAAATTAAAATCGTAGAGTGCACTTCTAAAATTTTGGGGTGTCTTACTAAACTATGGGCATTAGAGGAACCTACCTACTAATACTTTTATGGCTATTGAATGTCAATAAAATGGATTTAATTTTCAACGAACGAGAATAATATGATAAGTATATGTGATCAATCTTTATGAATCTAGTGTGTTGAAAACAAATATCAGGGGGCCCCACTATCAACTCAGAAAGCCAGCAATTTGTCTACATACTTTATAAATAATTATATCCTAAGGGGGTGATTGTTTATGGATTCAACTAATTTTTATTTGATTTGTTTTTAACTATAGTTAGTTTTGAAAAACAGTGGTATGATTAGTTGTTAGTGAATATATTAAAATAATATTTAAATTAAAATAATTAAAATTGATTTGATGTAAAAGTATGAAAAAATGATTGAAAACGATGGTTAGTTAAAATGTGAGTGGATGAATAGTGAATTAAAGTTGATTTGATGTGTAAAAATGATTGGTGGATATTATTTAATTATATTAATAATATAGAAGATAATGAAGTTGAGTTAAAATTGAGTTAAATTTGAATTTTGATTGATTTTTTTACTGTTCAAACCATAAACAATCACTCCCTAAGTAATTTCGGGTTAGATTTGGTAGTAAAAGGTTTATCTCGATAAGGGCTAATTATGTTACGTGGACCCTTTGGCTTCGATGATAAACATCTGATGAAGGACGTACTTATCCCTAGGTTAAACATTAAAAAAATTCATATTCCTCTTTCTAGCCCATTGTTATTAAAAAAAAATTAACATCATGGAGCATCTATCCCAAATTTCCATAAACCCGCAAACATATCGAGATTCACTTGAAATTATAATAATACTCCTAATTTTATTACCTCTAATTGTGAGTTACTAAGTAAGTTTATTCTGGCTAAAAATTCTATACAGTCATCGAATGATTTTCTTGTGGAGTTATCAATCACTTATAATATATTGACACTTGTTCAAAGTGTATTTAGTGAGGACACGTGTCAATGCTCGAATAACTGTAGATAACACCATAAGCTGAGTCATCAGATGACTTCATAACAAAACTATTAGTCTCATTTGTTTGTATGTCTCTAGGCATAGTGATTTTGACTTAGTTCCATCGGGTTTAAAATGTTAAATCAATATACTTGCTAGAATGCATGTGTGCGCTTATATGATCAGATGGCTTGGGAAACTATGACCAGCTTTAGAAAGTTTGCCAATTTGGTTGATTCATTTTGCCTTCTTTGAGAAAAAAAAAAAATACATTTATATTTTTGTTTCAATTATAATAAATCCAACTTTTTAAATTTATCAATTTAAGACTCGATTTTTTTATTTAATTTTTTATTATAATTATTATCGTTGCAAATTAAGACTTGAACCCATTAAATAAAACATTTCACGTTCCATATTTTGATGATATAAAGTTCGCCATAAAAAAACAATTAATTAAACTCAATAATGTTTTCGAACCACCTTATAGTCAAATCGAGGAATTCGAATTAAAATTATAACACAGAAGGTCGGGCACAATTGCTGATCTATATTGACCTCTAAAATGCTAGGGTTTCTATGAATGTAATAGATCTACTACTCTGGACCCTACAAATATCAAGGTTTCTATAAATGCAATTGATCAGCCTCTACTTTGAACCAGTTTCGTAAGAGCCGTTCAATATCTTTTAATTTTGATTAGCCTTTTTAAAGATGAGTAAAAATTATTTTTTTTTATTGATGTTGTAAATCACATGATATAATAGTATACTATGCCTCATTTATTTAAAAAATAAAAATATTTTAAATGGCCGAAAAAAAAAACAGTTGAAATAAAATTCAGTTCAATAATCCCCAATAACAAAATTAGAAGATAATTAATTATGAAATAGAAAATATTTAAACAGATCCAATTACATAATTTCAATAGAAGCACGCAGCCCCAATTACATTCCAAGCCATCATTCATATACAAAAATTACAAAGCAGCCTCAATTTGTTACCTTTTCTATTTTTGGCTGCTAGAAAATTTACCTTCCCTTACTTTTTCAACACAACAAGACAGTAAAAAATAACCAAAACAACAAGACAGTAGATAATTCAATCGGCCCACCCACCAACCGGATCCCGATTATCCGTATCTACCCAGCAGCTTCAAATTCAATGGAGAGTCAGAAACCATATTCACAAAATCATAAGAGTCAGCAAAATATTCGGGTCATAATAAAAAAACGGGCTGCCCATTTCTACCCTAATGCAAATCCCGAGAACCATTACCATTCGACAAGCTCCGAAACCCATTCAAGATCCGGACCCGCATTACCCGTCGGGTCGACCCGTTCGGCTCGCTCCAACGAGTTCTCCTTACCGATTTTGGCGTAGATCTTTTCACGCAGCTCTTTTCCAGATTCCACTCTCTCCATCACCGGTTCCTCCTCAAGCGAAGCTCCCCAAGCATCGAACGGGCTGGCTCCGACCCGGCCCTGGCCCCGCACCCGAATAGGAGTGCTGGGCAGACTCATGAACCCGGGCCGGATGACAGGCGGGCTCCGGGGAGACCCAATTCCCAGTCCGGCCCACGAGGGTGGGCTCCCGCACAAGCTCATCCCGCCGCCCAAACCCAGCCTCATCTTGCTGAGCTGCAAGCCGCGCATCGACTCGGCGAGCTGACTCACCGAGTCCCACCCCGCCGACCCGCCGGGGGATACCGGCGGCGAGAGCTCGGGGCTGCCGTGGGAGCGGGGCAGGAGGCGGAGCTGCCCCGGCGTGTGGGCGAAGAAGCACACGCGCCGCCGGCAGTGGGTCCCGTCCTTGCACGGCTGCGTGCGGTAGCGCGCCGGGTGGAGCCACGCCTCGAACACGCCGTGCGCGTGCTCGCACGCGTCGCCCCTCCGACACTCCCCCCTCCGAAAGTCGGGGCAAGCGTCCCCGGAGTAGCGGTGCCTACGCGGGTCCCTCCGCCGCGCCTTCTCGCCGGGGTGCGCGAACGGGCACTCGGTCCAGTCGTGGGACCTCGCGACGGCGCACGGCCGCACCTTGAACTCGAACATGCGGAACTCGTCGCACGAGAAGGCGTCCGCCGGGACGTCGAACTCGTCGGCGGCGTCCCCCGCCGCCGTATCCCCATCGTCGTCCCTGTTCGACGGCAGGTAGCGCTGCAGCGCCGCCATTGCCCTCTCGCAGTGGGCGTGGGCCGTCGGATCTTCAGCGTTATGGTAATCCCAAGGCGGGATCTGGACGGTCGGATTTGAACGGAGCTGATCGCCCATCATCATCATCATTTCTCTTTTCTGCAGAATGTTAGTAGTACACTTTCTCTCTCTCTCTCTCTTCTTTGTTTTTTTATTTTTTATTTTTTATTTTGGCTCCTCACTCACTGTATAATGGCGCAGTACTGTCGTGGTCGCCGTGGATTTGCATGCTGGGGTTGTGATATAAACTGGTTTTCTAACCATGGTTGTGGGGTTCGAGCTAACCATGGTCAGGTTAAAATTAATTTCTACCGCCTCTACGTGGACCTTTTGTTAAAATTTGCAATTATTAATTTTCCGGGCCTTGCTCGTTAGTTGACAAGTGGGCTAAAAGAATTAGACGAACATGCCAAATCAAAGTGAATTCTATAGTTTAAAATTTGTGTCACATCTTTTGTTCGTACTTTTTTAACCTTAGCAGTCACTAGAACTTACATACAAAGGAGAGAGAGAGAGTGTGTGATAATAAACCAGCAAAACACTACGTGCCTCGAAAGTGTGGAACAACTTTAAACAAGTAGTATTGAAAAAAAAAAAAATATTAACAACTTTTAATATCACAATATTTAAAAAAAAATATTTTAGTGAGTGACTGCAATTTTTGAAAAATAAATGGTACTATTAATAGATTTTTTTTTTCTTTTGTGCTGGGATAATAATACAAATATAGAAATGAAAAAAAAATATTTTATAAATGGAATGAAAAATATTAAGTTTATTGTTAGGTCATTGTTGGACAATTATACTTTTCTCAATAAAATATGTAAAATTTTAATTTAAAATGGCATACTATTAAAACGAATGAATAATGAAAATATGATATTACTAACATAAAGTCTGATTTTCTAATAAAACAATATATATATAAGGGAGATGCGACAGTCCCGTTACGGAATCATTCCGTCGGGTTTCTAACCGTTAGATCAACTATTCATACTGGTTACATGATTATCTAACGGTTATAAACTCTAACGGAATGGTTCCGTGAGGGGACCGTAGCAAGTTAGAGTTATTTGCAGATTCACACGAATTAGTGATAAGAATGAAATTTATATACACATGGTCCCTTAAGCTAGTTCAACTAGTCCTGTCTTCCTAATAAGTTTAATTGAGTGGCACTATAATTCACAATAATAGTGTTAAACTGTTTATATCATTAAATTGACCCCATATTGCTTGAACTTGGGGAGATGCTATTAAATGTCGAATAACGTCAGTAGGAAAATGGCCGACCAGCATAATTTATGACCATTAGACAATACAGTGCCTACGTAATTTATAGTTTTCTTGTTCCTTCAGAAAATTGAAAATTGTACGTATATATATGTAGACAAGTCTCTATTTTTATTTTTTTATTTTTACATTCCTCTTCAATTAAATAAATGCATATTATAATCATAGTAAATGCTATGGTCCCGTTACGGTTCCATTCCGGCGGTTGTTTTAATCGTCGGATCATTTATCTTATACTAACTACATGTGTATCCAACGGTTAAAACATCCGACGGGATGATACGTAAGGTAGCATAGCATTTCCCTATAATCATACATATTGTGTAGAAATTGAAAGCATTAGTTACAGTTTAGCAATTTAAATTTATGAGTATGCTTCATAGTTTGACATTATCCAGATCCTCCTCCTATGTTGTTAGTATTATTATTTTTATTGTTTTTAATTATGATTAAAATTGAAATATAATGCGCGGACAAAAAGAAGTCGACTATACTAAATAGAAGAAAAAAACAACTCATAAGACGGCTTTACAAATTTTACAATTATAACTGCAACTAACATGATTTTCAAGTTAATTGAGACAGTACGTTTGTTTAATTAGTCATGCCAAATTACTAGAAAGCCTTACATTTATGTGACAAAATAGCTTGAAATAGATAATTGGAACTTAGTGCGTACTTGTTAGCTTTTTTCTGTTTTTTCAGTCTTTTTTTTTTTCCTTTATGTGAAAAATATAAATATTTAAAATTGAAAGGGCTGTAAGTAGTACATTTTTCACCTCAAATCTTGATCATAGGTAGTTCGGTTTGAAGAATTAAAAAAACTTCAAAACTAAACCAAAAATAGTTAATCACAAAAGTTCAATATTTGAACCCGTACAATAAAAAAAGAAAAGGCTCAATTTTGAGTTCAATTAGAAGCTACTGCCATATTCAG